TGCGTGACGTCACGGCGCACGCAGGCTCTGGCCAGGGTGCCCCGCGGCCCCGCTGCGCGACCGCGGCTCCGGGACCGGGCGAGGGCGCGTCTGCACGCCGGCCGTGGCTTTCCGATCCCGACCGAGGTCTGCGCCCGAGAGCGAGACCGAGACGCGGAGAGACAGAGACCAGGACTCAGAGAGACCGATACTCAGAGACAGAGAGAGAACGAGACTCAGAGACAGAGAGAGACGGAGACTCAAACAGACAGAAACTCAGGGTCTGAAACAGAGACAAAGAGACAGAAACTCAGGGTCTGAAACAGAGACACAGAGAGACCAGGACTCAGAGAGGCCGAGACTCTGAGACAGAGACAGAGACAGAAACTCAGTCTGAGTCAGAGACATAGAGCGAGACAGAGTCTCAAAGAGAGACAAACAGGTGGAGACTCAGAGAGATACAGGGACAGAGACACACAGCAAGTCAGAAACTCAGACCGAGAGTCAGAGACTCAGAGAGACAGGCTCAGAGAGAGCAAAACAGACTCAGAGACAGAGATGGAGACTCAGAAAGACAGAGCCACGGATTGAGACAAGAGACTCAGAGACAGACAGAGACAGACTAAGAGACAGACTCAGAGACAGAGACAGCGAGATAGAAACTCAGAGACACAGCAAGATGGAGAGAGCCGTCCTCCTCCCGCGGATCCCGGTTCTTGAAGCACTGGAACCCCGAGGCTGACCCCGGGCGGGCGTCCCTGCTAGGGGCCGTGTGCAACAGGTCCCAGCCCGGCCGTTGACTGCGGGGTCTCAGGGCAGGTTCAGTGCGAGTTTCGCCAATGACGCTGACCCCAGAAAAGCTGACAGTGTGTGGGAAACTGTGTCCAGTCCAGGCAAGGACGTACTTCGAAGCCCAAGAGCAGATTTCAGGAAACACCTACCGTGGGAACCGGCAGAGACCTGGGAAGAGCTTGAGTTCTGAGCTGGGAAGACACAGGCCCGACAGGCCCTCCTCGCCAAGGAGACACTGGAAGTGGGTGGAGCAGCCAGCATGTGTGAAAAGGCAGTGGCCTCAGGTCCAGGGGTCTGCAGCCCTCTGCCTGCCCCAGGGGAGGTGTCAGGTAAAGGGTGGAGCCGGGTGGGAGCGCTGGCAGTGAGGACAGAGGTCTGGCCACTCTTTCGTACTCCAAACGTGTTTCCAGGAGGCCTGGGGGTCGGCCCAGGAACCTGGACAGAGGTGCCAGAGCACGAGGCCTGCCACTGTCCCATGGCATGGCCGCCTTCCCTCTAGGCCCTGTCTGGACCCTCGCTTACTCCTGTCAGGAACAGGGCCTTGTGTTTCCTTTAGCGACTCCCACTAGAAATGTGGAGCTCACCTAGGACCCGAAGCTGCCCCCCAACGCCCCCGGTGTGCACCAGGCCAGTGTCCAGCTCCCTGCTCTCAGGACCCAGGTCAGCCACCGTCTCAGCACGCGCAGGACGCTTCCTCTGGGCCAGGTTGGTCTAGTAGTGCACCACGTGGTGATTTCTGCAGTTGGTGGTTTCCCCAACGGTTAGATAGGAAGGCCGATAAAGCGGGGAGAGGAGAAGCGGAAGGGCCGGAGCATCTGCCATGCGAGATGGAGATAGCGAGGTGGGAGGTTTCCAGTGGGGGTGGAGCCGAGCCACCGGGATCCAGCCGGCAGATGGGTCAGCAGGTGACACAGCCACGAAGAATTAGGGACTGCGTGGAAAGTCCCGTGAGCACTGGGACTCTTAGGGACCCTTAGCTAGCTCTCCCTGCACTGCTCTTCCTGGGGATCAGCTAGCTCCCCCTGCTTGTTCTCCCTGGGGATCAGCTAGCTCCCCCTGCTTGCTCTCCCTGGGGATCAGCTAGCTCCCCCTGCTTGCTCTCCCTGGGGATCAGCTAGCTCCCCCTGCTTGCTCTCCCTGGGGGTCAGTTAGCTCCCCCTGCTTGTTCTCCCTGGGGATCAGCTAGCTCCCCCTGCTTGCTCACACAGAACTGCCTGCAGCCAAAGCCTCTCACAGCCTGCTGAGATGACAACAGCTGAGCAAGAGTGGAAGCCTGGAGTGACCTTACTGTGCCTGCCAGGTAAGGAGACCCCCCACATCACAGACACACATCTCAGGAGCAGAGGTGATACTGTGGTGGGCAGTCCTGAGATAGGAGGACGTGTCACAGCGGTCACAGCATACAGGGGAATTACAGTCAGACCCACCTGGGGAATGCCTGTCTTCCCCCCCCCAGCTCCTGCTGCCAGGCAGGTTCTCTTCTCTCCTGCCATTGCAAATACACACAAGAAATTCTCCACCCGGACAGGGTGTCACATCAACATCCTGACTCCCACCAGGGCAATGAGCTACTTGAGCAGCTCACCCAGATAGGGTGCCCCCACCGGTTATTCCACCCTGGTAGGTGTGACTGGACAGTTAAACTCCTCACCTGGGGGTGCAGTGTGCAGGAAGAAGCCCTTGAAGTCGAAGAACCCTGCACCCTGACAGACCTCCCCTGCTCAGTGTTTGTTACCAACCCTCCTCATGGAAGCAATGCCCAGCCCTGCCAGGGCTGTTGTCCTCTGGCGGCTGCACCGCACTCCTCTCAGGCACGGTGGTATATTTCTTTTCTATTAAAAACCTTTCTTATTAAAAGTTCGCTTTTCCTATCTTATATATGCTTGTGGTTTTTCATTCTGCATCTCAGGACAGGGCTCTGATCTGAGAGATCTGGGCCCAAACAGCTAGGATTTCACGCAAAGCAACTGTGCCCCATCTTCTAGCAGGTCTACTACAGACTCCTCCCTGGAGCTCTTCCAGGAGCCTCTCAGCTGGCCAACGAGCTGGCATTTCTCCCCGCCAGCCCGTCCTGCAAGCCGCTTCTCTCTTCACACATAATGCAGGCTTCTGAGAGACTGAACAAGCCTAAATAAAACCAGAAGCCAGACAAAGCCCCTCTGACCCAGATAAAAAGCCCCTCACCTCAGTTCCTCTTTGGCAACCCATTTTCTGGGACCAGCTCCCTGCCCAGAGCTCTGCTCGTCCTCCCCTCTCCATTGGTAAGTTCTCTGCTATCTCCTCCCCGTGTCTGTGTCTCTAGTTCTTCATCACGAGCGTGGGATAAGAACCTGGGTCTCGCAGGGGCTGGGCCTGATCACCCTTGCACCCCTGCCTCCCTGTGTCACTAATGGGATCTGGATGCTAACATCCACCCCCGGCTCAGCCCAGTCATGGGCACACTGGGATCGCAGATGGGAACCCACAAGCTTCCCATGCCCCCCCCACACACACACAGTGCTGCTTTTTACCACTGTACCGTGCTACCATGGTCTGTCCCCTGCAGTGTTCTTTTTTTTTTTTTTTTTTTTTTTTCCATGAGATTTTTCTGACAGAGCCTGGCCATGTCCCCATCCTCCTGCCCCAGCCTTCCAGTTCACTGGGATTACAGGTGGCACATGTAATCTGGGCACACTGCCCAGCCCGGGAGCAGAGCCGGGGCCTCGCACAGTGGTGGCCACCACTTGTGCCCAGCAGCTAGGCCTGGCAAAGAAAATGGAGGACCACAGGGGAAGAAAAAATCTTTAAACCAAGAAGAACAAAATCAATAATTACGAAGGATCCTTCAGGTAGTGCTGATAGATACTGCTATTTGGCAGGCTGAGGCCACACAGACCTGGTTCGATTCCTGACCCACCCTGGAAGCTAGCTGTGGTGGTGCCTGTCATCCCATCTACATGGGCGGTGAGGCAGGAAGACTGGGTTATGGCTAGACTGCCTGAAATGATGACGGGCGAGAAGCCCAATGGTTTCTATTCCCCTTTTGCTGTACCCGAAGCTAAAGCACAATGGTCAGTAACCATAGACCTTGAGGGGAACGTCTGTGACAGGAATTTCATATCAGCTAAGTTCCCCTCAAGACAAAGTCCTCAGAAATAAATTTTAGAATTGAAAAAGTTTTAGGTAACACTTTGAATTCCTTCATTTGGAATTACCTATCAGAATGGCCAAAATCCAGATCATTGACACCACCAGACGCTGACAAAGATGTGGAGGTACAGGAATGTCCATGCACTGCTGGTGGGAGTGCAATACAATGATAGAACTTTGGAGAGCAGTTCGGCAATTTCTTACAAAATGCACTTACTGGGACCAGCAGTTAGTGTAATGGCTATGTCGCTGGACTCCCACGTAGTCAACCATGGTTCGCATCCCGGACCTGGTGGCTTAAACTCATGCCGGGCACGTGTGCGTGCGTGCCCAAGATCCTGAGAGGAGAATGGAGGAGAAGGGATTGTGGCGTGGTCATCCCCCCTTGGGGGGTGATTTCTCACTTTCTGTTTCTCTGTCTCTGTCTGTCTGGCAAGCACATGCGCCCTATAGCAAAAACCTCTCCAAAAAAAAAAAAAATGCACTTACTAATGCACTTTTTTTTTTTTTTTTTTTTTTGCGGGAGGCTTTCATATTCACCAGAGAGAGACAGACATAGAGAAAGAGGAAAACAAGAAAGCACCTCCTCATGGGACATGGTCATGCTACAATCCCTCCTCCTCCTCTCCCCCTTGGGACCCTTGGGAACATTTGGCATGCCTCACACCCAGCATGTTTCTCAAATTGCCAGGTCTGGAACTCGAGCCATGCAGTCAGCCATGTGGATCCCGCCACCTTAAACACCAGGCCACAGAGTGGCCCACTAAATATATCCTTACCATGGAATCCGGCAGCTGTGTTCCTTTGTATTTGCTCAAAAAACGAACCTGCACAGTATTTACGGCAGCCCCATACACAATGGCCCAACGTGGTGACGGTCAAGGTGCCCTTCAGCGTGGGTGACTGATGGGTAACTGAGCAGTGATACATCCGGACAGTGGGTGCTATTCCGCAATGGAGAAATGAGCGCTTAGGCTATGGAAAGGTTAAATGTGTATAGCCTGGTGAGATAAGTCAGTAAAAGGCTATCTGCTGTCTAGCCTACCTGTACCAACATTCCAGAGAAGCGGGCCTCGAGGGGCAGGGAGGAGGGATAAGTTGGTGAAACACAGGGTTTTAGGGAGTAAAGCAATGCCACGGAAGCCACAGCAGTAGATCCTTGCCATTCATTGTCCACCCTCACACCTGTAGAATGTACAGCCCAAGAGTGGCCACGGCCTGTAGGAAACAAGTTATGGAGAGCGACTCATCAAATCATAACAACATACGACTAAGGCAAAGGCAAGACTTTTACTATTATTGTATTTAACTTTATATATTTTAATTTGACCAGAGAGGAACATTGCTTGAACTGTGGTCTGTCATGTGGTACTCCAGCATCCTTAACCACCATGCCACCTGTCACCCCAAGGTTTTCTTTCTTTGTTTTGTTTTTTTTTGTTTTTTTTTTTTTTTTTTTAGATTTCTTTTTTTTGAGGGGGTTTTTTTTTTTTAGATTTCTTTTTCTGGAGGGTGTGTCTGATCACCAGAGAGAAAGAAAGCAAGAAAATCACCTTCCAGTGGAGAGGCCCACACTGCAATCCCCTCTTCTCCATTCTCTCTGGATTTCAGACACGCAGTCACTTGGACCTGGCCTGAGAATTAAGCTGCTGGGTCTGGGATTCGAACCGCAGTCCCACGTGGGAGTCCAGTGCCTTAACCACCATGACACCTGCTGGCCCCAAGACAAAATGTTAAGAGAAACAGGGAGGATGGAGAGCGTGTCCTGGAACTCTCCATACTTTCTAGTCAATTTTTCCTTAAATCTAAAACTGAAAAATATTTAATGACATTTAGAAAATTAATGTTGAAAGTGGTGCTGGGAAGGTCTCAGAAGGAAATGAAGGATGGAATTAGAAACGGAGGCATGGTGATCTTTGTTATACGGGGCAGAAACTCATGGGACTGTTTTACCGTTGGTGGAAAATAAAACTGGTAAATGATGAACTTGGCCATTGCACTGAGGACTCCCAAGTACGCAGCCTGCTTGCTCTGCTGCTCAGAGTGGTGCCTAGGCAGAGAATGAACCCAGGAAAGAACCTTAGGAAAAAGGAACCAGCTCCGGATGCCTTGGAAAAATCCCAGCCGTGAGGCACACAGCTGAGCGGATGTCAGGAAGGCACAATGTCTGTGTCCAAGTGACACACAGGCCGAGGGTGACAGGAAGGCACAATGTCTGTGTCCAGGTGACACACAGGCTGAGGGTGACAGGAAGATACAATGTCTGTGTCCAGGTGACACACAGGCCGAGGGTGACAGGAAGACACAATGTCTGTGTCCAGGTGACACACAGGCTGAGGGTGACAGGAAGACACAATGTCTCCAGTGACTTCGCTGTCTAGTGTCATCAAGTAACCTACGATGCTCCCAGCCTCCCGGGAGAAGCACCCACCGTAACACTGTTGCAGAGAAGGTATACTTTGCTAAACAAAATCAGTTTATGGATTTTTTACTCGGTGCCAAGTTCTATTTTAAGCACCACTTGGATTAACTAATGAGAGAACGGCAAGGAATGCACGGGTTTGCATTTAAATATAACCCTGCCTTAGTCATTTCTTTTTGCACGATAGCTAGGGTTGAGTAAAACTACATTTTTAACTCAAAAAGACATAAGCAATATCTTCGTGTGCCATTAGATATACACTTTAGGAGCAGGAAAATATTCTTCTGACAAACAGTTTTTTAAAGGAAAAATATTTACCGAGGTTTACCAGACAAAAAAGGCCTGTAACAGCTAACGCATTACATTTACATAAAGCGCCCCACACCGAGAACGAACACTGCCCGAATTCCGCGGCACTCCGAAGGGCAAAGGCATCTCGCGGCCTCCTCCAGGGCGCCCTGAAGTGCAACGCCGCCAATTAATTCAGCCCGCCGGGCCCCGCCGCGTGGGGTGCACCGTGTGTGTGTGTTCGCGTCCCCGACTGCTCTCCCGCGGGGTGCGTGTGTGTGAGCCCCGAGCCCCCCGCCGCCAGCAGTGCGGAATCCGCGCGCGTCCCGGTCTGTGCCGCCGGGACCGTCTCCCGTTCCGGGTTCCGAACTACCGCGCTGGTTTCCTGCCGCGAAAGTTTCCCTTCCCTCGCCCGCATCCGTCCTCCCCGTTTTTCTTCTCGGTCGGGGGAACAGCGGCGGCGGGGGCCAGTCCCTGGTCCCTGTCTCCTAAGCCACCAGCCAGCCCGCTGCCGGTTCTGACGCGGCCGAGTCCGGCCGGCTGAGGCTGGAGATGGAGCCGCCCAAGTGGCCAGCGGAGCCCGCTCGGGGAAGGTCCGCCCCGGAGTCGGGGTGCGCGAGAGGCCGGGGGCCGGGGGAAGACGGCGGGAGCGGCCCCCTCCGCCCCCGGCGCCCCGCTCCGCTCCAGGTGCCCCGCTACACTCCGGGCACACCCCTCCGCCGCGGGTACCCCCATCCGCTCCCAGCGCCCCGCTCCGCCCCGGGCTCCCCTCCGCCCCGGCTTCCGGCCCGCCCACCGATTTCTCCTTAAGGATGTGAGCAGGCAGTCTTGCTCTCGTGTAGTCGTGGCCGAGTGGTTAAGGCGATGGACTAGAAATCCATTGGGGTCTCCCCGCGCAGGTTCGAATCCTGCCGACTACGGCTCCTTTTAGCTCCGCGCAAGCCGGGACGCAAATCCGTCCTTGCCGGGTTGGAATCCGCGAGCGCTGGGGAGCCTGCCTGCGGGTGTCGCCTGGCCCTGCCTTTTACTGCACTGGGCCCCGGAGCCGCTCCTGCTTCCGCACCTGTGGGCTTCCAGTCCCCGCCTAAGG